TACAGTCAGTCATAATACAAAAGAATGAATATAAGAACTTCCAAAAATTAAAAACCTCTAAGCTCCTAATCAAAACGTCCTTACATCTTCCACCTACCTGCAATGGGATTAACATTGAACATACACATAAAATACAAAGGAGTAAGTCGTTAACGTAATAAATATCAATGTACGTTAATCCACATTTTAATAAGATTAAGTAAACAATTTAGAGTTAAATATTCTTAAAACCAATTTCATCATTTATACTTTTTGAAAACCATGCTACATAACTTGAGCCAAAGTTTGCTACATCGCTTGAGCCAAATGGTTTGTGGGTTGATTCATGGAAAGGGTTTGTGGGTTGATTCATGGAAACCTCAATACCCTAATGAGAAAATGTGGTTAAAAGGGAAAATGGATAAAATGCTAGAGGTAGAAGATGATTAAGCATTCTACTGTTGAAATATGAGATGAATATGTATGTCTTAGATGTTGTAAACTTATGATGAAAGTAGTTTAGAAACATTTAAAATACCTTAAATATCTTGTATGGTTAAATAATACAATATAAGTTGTTTATATGATATTTGGAATAAATGACTAACATTGTGCTATATGGTGTGAATGAGGAAAGATCCTAAAGTTGGCGACGGTGTCGGTGGAACTTGCGAAGTTACCAAGTACCAAACCTAACACTCACCGAGGTAAGGATAAGTCTTTAACTTGTGCATTTGAAATAGAAAATGTGTGTATTTTCTAGTTGTGCAAAAGATTAAGTTGTGAGTCGCGTATTTATTATAAACATATATGAGTGTGTTTATACTAATGATGGTGTGAATTTACGGGAAATGATTTATGGTGAAATCAATGAAAAGAAACTATATTTTTAGCCGACCATGAATGGTTAGCGACTCCGGCTCGAGTATAAGAAGCAAAACTCCAGCTCGAGTATAAGAAGCAAAACTCCGGCTCTAATATGAGAAGCAAAACTCCGGCTCGAGTATAAGAAGCAAAACTTTGGCTCGAGTATAAGAAGCAAAACTCTGGCTCGAGTATATGAAGCAATACTCCGGCTCGAATATATGAAGCAAAACTCCGGCTCGAGTATATGAAGCAATACTTCGGCTCGAGTATATGAAGCGAAACTTCGCCTCGAGTATATGTAGCATGTTTTCTTTTTAAAATAAATGAGAATTTGCTTTTAGCTAACCTTAAGGGTGTAGCGACTTCGACTCAAGTTATGCAGCAAAGAAAATGAATTTCGAAATGGTTTATTAACCCCTTTAAAATGTGGATTATCTTATAATGGTATTTATTGTCTTGATGACTTACTCCTTTTTATGTTGTGTGCATTTGCCATTGATAATCCCATTGCAGGTAAACAGGATAGTTGAGGATGCTTGGTTCGAGACCTTAGGAGCTTAGGACTTGGATCCTTTATTTTGCTTTTTGTGATGTAAATTGTTACTTGTATGATTGTATTCATAACTATTTGACTGACTACATTTTGGGGTGTAATGCTGGATATTAGTAGCTATAAGTGTTTTGGAAACTCATAGCTAGTCATATGCGGTAATTATCGAGGAAAGAAATATATGAATTATGTTTTTCTGTTAAATCGAATGTATGTGGATATGGCGACCATGAATAAATATGTTGAAATGCGATAATAAGTGTAGGAAAATGTATGCAAAAGAAATAAAATAAGGAACAAATTTCAAGGGTAGAATTTGGGTGTTTACAATATGGTATTAGAGCATAGTTAATTCTGCGGCCTTGGGTATGGCCTTACTTGCTTCTTTGTAACCTTTATTTGATTTAAATATGTGATTTAGGTGAACTGTTGTGTGGTTATGTGATGATTTATTTGATTACACGTGGTTTACTGACGAGCGAATGAGTACAGGTACCCGTTACGGAGATGTGTGGAAGAGGAAGAGGAAGAGGATCGGGTCAGAATGACTTGTTGGCCCAGATTGCAGCTGTGCTGATGAACATGAATGAGAACTTGCAACATCTGAACCAGAATGTGACACCAAGCCCGAGTTCCCAACCCCTAGTTCCACCTAGGTCGGCTGAGTACCGAGGTCTGGATGAATTCTGCAGGAGGAACCCCAGTCAGTTCAAAGGTGGATTCACTCCTGATGCCGCCATTGAATGGGTCCAAGGATTGGAAATGATCTTCAGAGCCATGAGTTGTTCTGATGCTCAGAAAGTGGCATACGCCACCTACATGCTAGTGAATGAGGCTGAGAACTGGTGGGAAATGGCCCGGAGGCAGATGGAGACCGAAGGACAAATCATCACGTGGGAAGACTTCAAGAGTAAACGATGTACTTATGGTGATGACGACAGTTGTGTCTCGATGTCCGGTAGTGGTAAACGGTAGGACATTTACCGCGAATTTAATCTTCTTACCATTATCCCAGTTAGATCTAATTCTGGGAATGGGCTAGTTGTTGGCGAATCATGTGGTGCTTAATTGTGCTGATAAGACTGGTATTCGGAAATCCATATGGGATTTCTGATGAGGTTGGTTATATGAAGCCGTTGTCGGCAAAGGAAGTCAGGACTTCCTGTAAGGAGGGAAGAGTCGTGTTTATATTGTTGGCCTCCATGGAGGGTATTGAGAAACCCAAGGTTGAGGACATTCCGATAGTTCGTGAGTTCCCTGAGGTATTTCCTGGTGACATTCTGGAGTTACCTCCAGTGAGAGAAGTTGAATTCTCTATTGATTTAGTACCTGGAACGAGACTCATCTCTATAGCTCCTTATAGGATGGCACGGTTAGAGTTGGCGGAGTTGAAAAAGCAGGTTGAGGACTTGTTGGCAAAGAAGTTTATTCGTCTTAGTGTCTCGCCGTGGGGTGCGCCTGTTTTTTTGGTTAAGTAAAGAATTTAAAGTTAAATATTCTTAAAACCAATTTCATCATTTATACTTTTTGAAAACCATGCTACATAACTTGAGCCAAAGTTTGCTACATCGCTTGAGCCAAATGGTTTGTGGGTTGATTCATGGAAAGGGTATGTGGGTTGATTCATGAAAACCCCAAAACCCTAAAGAGAAAATGTGGTTAAAAGGGAAAATGGATAAAATGCTAGAGGTAGAAGATGATTAAGCATTCTACTGTTGAAATATGAGATGAATATGTATGTCTTAGATGCTGTAAGCTTATGATGAAAGTAGTTTAGAAACATTGAAAATACCTTAAATATCTTGTATGGTTAAATAATGCAATATAAGTTCTTTATATGATATTTGGAATAAATGACTAGCATTGTGCTATATGGTGTGAATGAGGAAAGATCCTAAAGTTGGCGGCGGTATCGGTGGAACTTGCGAAGTTACTAAGGACCAAACCCAACACTCACCAAGGTAAGGATAAGTCTTTAACTTGTGCATTTGAAATAGAAAATGTGTGTGTTTTCTGGTTGTGCAAAAGATTAAGTTGTGAGTCGCGTATTTAGTATAAACATATATGGGTGTGTTTATACTAATGATGGCTTGGATTTACGGGAAATGATTTATGGTGAAATAAATAAAAAGAAACTATATTTTTAGCCGACCATGAATGGTTAGCGGCTCCGGCTCGAGTATAAGAAGCAAAACTTTGGCTCGAGTATAAGAAGCAAAACTCCGGCTCGAGTATAAGAAGCCAAACTTCGGCTCGAGTATAAGATGCAAAACTCCGGCTCGAGTATATGAAGCAATACTCCAGCTCGAATATATGAAGCAAAACTCCGGCTTGAGTATATGAAGCAATACACCGACTCGAGTATATGAAGCGAAACTTCGGCTCGAGTATATGTAGCATGTTTTCCTTTTAAAAGAAATGAGAATCTGCTTTTAGCTAACCTTAAGGGTGTAGCGACTTCGGCTCAAGTTATGCAGCATGTAACACCCCAAATTTTAATCTTTAAAAATATAGTATCAGTCCTGGAAGCCTCGCTTGATCGAGAGATTCTCGCCTGAGCGAAAAAGGATCAGCTGGGAGGGTGAAATCCTGGACGAGGATTCTCGCGTGGGCGAGAAATGGCAATTTTGGGCTGTTGACACAGTGTAATCGATTACACTCTTCTGGTAATCGATTACACTCTGCTGGTAATCGATTACACTATGCTGGTAATCGATTACACTATGCTGGTAATCGATTACACTCTGCTGGTAATCGATTACACTCTTCTGGTAATCGATTACATCGTATTAAAAGCATCAGATATGTGCATCTGACACAGTGTAATCGATTACACATTGCTGGTAATCGATTACACATTGCTGGTAATCGATTACACATTGCTGGTAATCGATTACACATTGCTGGTAATCGATTACATCGTATTAAAAGCATCAGATATGTGCATCTGACACAGTGTAATCGATTACACACTCCTGGTAATCGATTACATCGTATTAAAAGCATCAGATATGCGTATTTTTCACGTTGTAATCGATTACACCATGTTGGTAATCGATTACAACCCGACGACACCTCTTTAAAACAGAAACCCAAACACATTTTAGGGTGAAAACTTCGAAGAGAAGAGAGAGAGGAGAGCTTTTCAAGAGCAAGGAGCCTTATGACTCATCTTAGAGCTTGAGAAGAGGTAAACCTCTTGTTCCTAGCTCTTCTTCTTCCTCTCTAACTTGTTTTGGGTATGTTGGATTTATTTTCAAAACATGAGAAACCATGGAAACTCATCCTTTAGAGTTATGGTTCGTTTTATGTTGTTTTTATCTTGTAAACTCTTGGTTTAGAGATAGTATCTCAAGAATGGAAAGGGTTGTGGGTTGATTCATGAAAACCCCAAAAACCCAAAAGTGAAAATGTGGTAAAAGGAGAGAATGAGTAAAATGTTAGAGGTAGAAGATGAGTTTACCCCCAAATATTGAAATATGAGATTATGCATGTTTTAGATGGTTGAATATTGATGATGAATATTTTGTATGATTAAATGATGCAATATAAGTTGTTTATGTGATATTTGGAATAAATGACTAACATTGTGTGATGTGGTGGGATGAAGAGAGATCCTAAGGTTGGAGGCGGTGTCGGTGGAACTCGAGAAGTTGCCAAGAACCAAACCCAACACTCATCGAGGTAAGGATAAGTCTTTAATGTTGCATTTGAAATAGAAAATGTGTATTTTCTGGTTATGCAAAGACTAAGTTGTAAATTACGCATTTAGTATGAACATATATGGGTGTGTTTATACTAAAGTAGGCGTAGATTTACGGAAAAGGAAAATGTGGGTATTTTCTGGTTATGAAATGATCGAGTTGTGAATTACGCATTTAGTATGAACATATATGGATGTGTTTATACTAAAGTAGGCGTAGATTTACGGAAGATGGAAAATGTGTGTGTTTCCTGGCCATGCAATAATTATATTGTAAATCACGTATTAGTATAAACAGATATGGAGTGTTTATACTAAAGATGACGTGGATTTATGGGAAATGATTGATGGCAAATCGATGGAAGGAAAATTATATTTTTAGCCGACCAGAAATGGTTAGCGACTTCGGCCCGAGTTTATGAGGCAACACTTCGGCCCGAGTTTATGAGGCAACACTTCGGCTCGAGTTTATGTAGCAACACTTCGGCCCGAGTTTACGCGGCATGTTTTCTTTATAAAAGAGATGAGAATTTGTTTTTAGCTAACCTTAAGGGGTGTAGCGACTTCGGCTCGAGTTTATGTAGCAACACTTCGGCCCGAGTTTACGCGGCATGTTTTCTTTATAAAAGAGATGAGAATTTGTTTTTAGCTAACCTTAAGGGGTGTAGCGACTTCGGCTCGAGTTTATGTAGCAACACTTCGGCCCGAGTTTAAGCGGCATGTTTTCTTTATAAAAGAGATGAGAATTTGTTTTTAGCTAACCTTAAGGGGTGTAGCGACTTCGGCTCGAGTTTATGTAGCAACACTCCGGCCCGAGTTTACGCGTCATGTTTTCTTTATAAAAGAGATGAGAATTTGTTTTTAGCTAACCCTAAGGGGTGTAGTGACTTTGGCTCGAGTTTATGTAGCAACACTTCGGCCCGAGTTTATGAGGCATGTTTTATTGGTAAAAAGGATGAGAATCTGCTTTTAGCTAATCCTGAGGGGTGTAGTGACTTTGGCTCAAGTAATGCAGCAAGACAAAATGAATTTCGGAAATGGTTTACTAACCCTTTTTCTAATGTGGATTATCTTATAATGACGTTTATTGAATTAACGACTTAATCCTTTGTGTGTTTTGTACTTTTGTCATTGATAATCCCATTGCAGGTAAATAGATGAATGCAGTATGCTAGGTCGGGAGCTTTAGGAGCTTTAGACGTTGGATTCACTATTTATGTTTCGTATTCTAAATGATTACTTGTGGATTTAAATTTTTGTAATCATGGCTAACCATTAGTTGGATATTTGTAACTGGGTGTATGGTTATTTCGGAGAACTATACTTATGAGGTCTCATTATCCGTGAGACATTACGAATATGAATTATGTTTTTCTGTCAAATCAAGTGTAGGTGATTATGGAATTTGAAAGTATGATAGTAAGTGTAGGAAAATACATGCAAAATGATTAAAATGAATAAAAAAATTTCAAGGGTAGAAAATCGGGTCGTTACACAGCAAAGAAAATGAATTTCGAAATGGTTTACTAACCCCTTTAAAATGTGAATTGTCTTATAATGGTATTTATTGTCTTGATGACTTACTCATTTGTATGTTGTGTGCATTTACCATTGATAATCCCATTGCAGGTAAACATGATAGTTGAGGATGCTTGGTTCGAGGCCTTAGGAGCTTAGGACTTGGATCCTTTATTTTGCTTTTTGTGATGTAAATTGTTACTTGGATGATTGTATTCATAACTATTTGACTCACTACATTTTTAGGGTGTAATGCTGGATATTAGTAGTTGTGGCTGTTTTGGAAATCCATAGCTAGTCATATGCGGTAATTACCGAAGAAAGGAATATATGAATTATGATTTTCTGTTAAATCGAATATATGTGGATATGGCGACCAAGAATAAATATGTTGAAATGCGATAATAAGTGTAGGAAAATGTATGCAAAAGGAATAAAATAAGGAAAAATTTGGGTCCTTACATGATTAACATTGGAAGGGATGCATCCAATGTTTGAGTTTTGTTGATTGTAGAAAAAAGAACTGTGCACCATAAAAAGGAACTTGGATGGAGAAGAACATTGTAAACTAACACTGTTAACCAAGTTTGCTAGGTGGATGATGATGTGAATTTTTTTTACACATGACATTATATGATTGGGTGTAAGTACCATTAGTACCTATGGTACTGCAGCCAAGTTTAGTCCTTCATAAAATAACTCAAGCAATAAATTTCTTATAACAAGGGATAAATGATAATTTTGTCTACTAATTTTAGTACACAATACTAACATATTTCAACTAAAAATATCTTTCACATGCCAACAAACTTTTAGTAAAAAGTACAAATTATCAAGAAGACGTTAGTGTAATGATATAAGGGTACGTTGGATCTGTAAGAAGACTAAAAGGTCAAATACTCAATTCCCGGGAGCAACACTTGAGGGATGGACAATCATGCATCCCGAAAAGATTAGTTCCTTACCCTTAGGGTAATGAGACACCTTATAAATTATCAAAATACTAAAATGTAAGGAGAATCCAACAACCAAAATTATGATATGTCATTTTTTTTTTAATTTTTAGAAATATATTATTTAGAAAATTATTAAATAAGACATGTCATGATTTTAGTATTTAGATGAGATAACTTATTTCCTTATATGAGCAAATATTTTATTCTCTTTTGCATAGGTATTTTTCTATTTGTAAATATAACTAAACTCAGTTATAAAAGCTACCAAAAAACTGATTTAAGGATATCCTTTGTTATTATTATGGAAGGAAGGAAAAATAATTAATCTAAATAATCAAGAAACACAAATAAGCACATTGATTCTACAAGCACCTTATTTCCACCACACCTTTGGGCTTCAAGGAACAATTGTAGAAAAATTGAATAATGAAAAAAAAAACAGTTTTTAATTAACTAAGAGAAGCTTCCTTTTAGTTAACACAAATAAAAAATGAGCTTCTTTTTCACTTTGTTCTTGTAATGACTCTGTGAGTAAGATCTATTAGAGCTCTTCTTGATTTTTTCACTTCCTCATCATCATTTTGAGGTAAGGAATCAATTGCTGCTGCTGCTAGGTTAGCATGCCTCACTGCAAGCTCCCTTGTCCTCTGTATACCTAGGCTCTTGCCAAGATACTCCAATGTCTATACATACAAATACAAAAATACACAATCTGAATTAGCAAGCTTGTATCGCGAGGTTTTTATATGAAAAGGGAGACCCAATGCACGATGCTCTCATCTATTGGGGTCTAGACAGGATAGATGTATGTAGTTTTACCCTTACAGGCAATGAGGTTGTTTTTAGGAATGACAACGGGGTGGGGTGGGGTTGGGTTTGTGCTTATCTAACCCAGAACCCGAATTAAGCGGGGTTAAAAACAATGATATCATCCCCGAACCTGTCGGATTTTGGGTAACCCGAACCCGAAGAAAACCCGCCCGAAACATATACTTATATATATAGGTTCTATATACATGTCAAATTTCTATATATATAGCTTTTATATATGTATTTATGTGTAATTTTATAGTTTTATATATATTAATCGAGTTCGGGGTAGAGTATCAACTGTACTAAACCCGAACCCGAAAGTTGAGCTCGGGTAAAACCCGAACCTGAACCCATACCCAATCAAATCGGGTTTTCTCCATTAAATTCGGGTTGGGTTCGGGCGAGTACGCGCGAGTTCAGTTTTCATTGTCATTCCTAATTGTTTTTAAGATTTGAACCCGTGACCTCTAGGTGAAAAGACAAACAACCTTTCTGTTGCATCGAAGCTCAGCCTCGTACGATGTGGTTTTTATATAACCATGTTTAGTATCCCAAAGGACTCCCTAGTGCCTGATATTTGCACTCCAGACCTTAAAAGTATGTGAGGTGCATCCTAAGATTCAATACCATGACTTCAAAATATAGCAATGGCAATCACCACTTAAGCTTTTTTTCTACAAGGGCCTTCAATGGATCAAATGAACTCATTGTGATTTGTTATAAACTAAGGCATACAGAAAGGTTCTAACAAGAATGACTTTAAAAGATGAATGAAATGAATATGATATGAACAGCAACAAATCATGTTAAACAGCTTAATTGACAAAACAGAACTTGAGCTACTCAAGCAACATATCAGAATTCTGCATAATCAGGTTTTGATTATCAAACTTAACAATTGTTGAAGAAGCCAAGCAAATAAAGCATGTTGGAGTGGAAGAAAACTAGAAATTTTAATTTTCCATTACTTTCTATTAAAGCCTCAAATCGATTATCGAAGAAGCACTTAAAAAAAAGAAGTGGAAAATGAGGCTCACTACTATACAATACTATGTTAATGTTCATACCAAACTAATTTCAACCTCTTAAATGTCAGATTCACTGAATTCTGAGATGCCACAATAGTAGTTTCTGTGAAGATGGTGATCTTTCCCAATTTATGGCTAAGGTTTTGATGATGCTCACTATGTCATCAAATGCAAAAAGAAGACTAGCAAGTCAAAGAAGCTCATATGTGTAGTCTAAGTCTTCTAGGTAAAACGATACTTAATCTTAAAATCTCTTAACTATACGATAAAGGCTAAATTCTGAAAAACTCATGCATAAAACCAAGATCATTTGCACTAAAGCATAGGTGTTCTGTTTTTAAACAGTGTAATCGATTACACTACTCTGGTAATCGATTATAGATTGATAAACTCATCAGTCTTGTACATTTTCCATGATGTAATCGATTACACAACCCTGGTAATCGATTACATGATGATAAACTAATCAGACATGTGAATTTTACATGATGTAATCGATTACACTATACTAGTAATCGATTACAACATATTAAAAGCATCAGATATGTGCATTCTTCACATTGTAATCGATTACACCATGTTTGGTAATCGGTTACATAAATCCGTTGAGTTTGTTTTTGAAATTTTTAACTAGTGTAATCGATTACACATACCAGAACAGTATATTGGTTCTGTTTTGAATGAACTGATGTAGCTCTTAACTTTTCACAAACTCATACTGGTTCATGTGCACAAATTAAACACTATAAATAGGTGTTCTATGACTTGTTTTTCAACACAATTCTGAATACAGCTTTCATACTCACAAAGTCACAAAGTTCTCATAATTTCTCTCATTCATTCATAAGTGTTAAGACTTTGATATCAATTTTCATATCTTTCCAATTCTGGAAATTATTCAAAGTCTTAAGCACAAACAAAAGTCTTTATCCAAGTTATTTGATTCTAAATTAAGTGATCATTTAGTGAGTGATTCAATCCTTAAAGTTTCAATTACTATTAGAGAGTCACTTATTAAAAAGCCTTGTAAAAACCATCTTAAGAATACAAGTTAGTGTCTTGTAAACATTTCACCAAGTGTGGTGAAGTGCAGTATATTGTGAAGAACGGTGTTAGCCTAGTGCCTAGTGGAATAGGTGAGTAGTCTTGGAAGAAGACGAAGAAGGTGTATCATTGGTTCTTGCAATAGTGGAAAAATCTTCTTGGTAACAAGAAGGACTGGACGTAGCCTTCAGATTGAAGGTGAACCAGTATACATCTTGGTGTGATCTTCTCTTCCCTTAACTTTTTACATTTTGCATTATCATCTACTTTTACTCAACTATTTTGTTTAATACTTCCGCTCATAGAAAAACTCTTTTTAAACTTGCAAAGTTTTAAAATAAAAGTAGAAATATTCAATTTAAGTCTCTACACCTAATTCACCCCCCCTCTTAGGTGGCCATATATCCTAACAGTTTCTCTTATTTAGTGGCAATAAAAGCTAATTATGTAGAGTACATGCAGCAAAGAACCTCACATTAACTTACAAGATCAATATTCTTAGGGTTTTCAAAGCCTTCCTCTACAATTGCACGCAACTGAGGGAACTCTTCCATGGCATACAACATTGGAGCTGTTACAATTCCCTGCAATAATTTGTTAGGCCAACACCAGGTGAGTATTCTAAAGCAAATCATAACTATGTGTTATTCAAAATAAAAGGCAAACCAAAATATACACAAAAATGATTTTTTAGAGGTTTTTCACTTGGAGAATAATATTGATGAAATATTAAATTCTAAATTCTGTCAAAATAAGGTCAAGAAAAATCAAGATAAATTAGTGTTTGGGAAGTAGAAAGCTAACGTAAAACTTTGTCGAGTTTCTATGATATGGGTCAACAATAGGATAATGTTAATGTTAGGTCATTGCCAAGAAGTAACGTGATACACATGATCCCTACCTGATTCATCAACACCAAATAGAATATGCTGATTGATAAAGATTGTTATTTCATTCAAATGTAACCATAAATGATGTTCAATGAAAAGCATATACGCAACATGTAGACATCAACAAACTAAATGAAGATAGACAAATGAAAATTTTTGGTTTTACTGTTGACAGAGTGTGTATCATATTTTACTAACTTGACCATCAAGAACTCATACGCTTTCATCAAATAATCTTTAAATTATAATTGAAAATTCAAAATCAAGACTTGCTGAAATTTATAACAAAAATAATGATGAAATTACATGGCGAATGTCTGATAAAGAACCCTTTCCAAGTGAAGCCGATGTGCCTGTGAAATCAAGCACATCATCTATCAATTGAAATGCTAAACCCTGCAAAACAGTGGAGAGGGAATTAATTTACGCCATCCATAAAATTTCAAAAACAGGAACATAAATAACATGCACAGACGGGTAGATAGATCAACTAAAATGTTGTAAGATTAATTGCTGAATTGAAGGGTTTTAGATAGACAAAAGGAAAGGAGAGAATAGACAAAAGTGTCATGAATTGCTTAAGTGGTTTTGCACTCAGCATGTTGATATTTATATTCATGAAGTAATAAATGCAAATAAT